CTATTACTAAACAGAGAAGCTATAAAGATGTAAAGAGAACTCTAAAGGTGCCCAGGTCTACGGGAGAGTGCCCAGGGAAGGACAACTCTGAAGCGGGGGGGTCCCCACCCCAAGCAGGGGTTCAGACCTGGTTAGAGGAGGTGTGGTTGCAGCCACAGGGTAGAGGAGAAGTTTGTGGGGTTGCCTGGGCCAGAGCTGGGCCACAGTCTTCCGACAGCAGGAAACAATTTCCCAGGGCACAAGAGGGCCAAGCTGGTGGGCGGGGCAGGGATCCCTCCGGGGACGCTGCCGCTGTTTCCCGTGGCCCTCCTGATGGGGAGACCATGCGCCCCAGGCTGCACGGAGCCCTGCCAGCTAGCCGGCTCCTGTGAGCTCCGAACTCCACATGGCACAAAGGACGCCCCTGAACTCTGTGCTAAGAGGTTCGACCAAACCGTAGCCTGGCTTCCACCTGCTCTAGGCAGTGTCCATAAAGATGACCGCACACCCACGCTGAGTCTTGGCTCAAGAAAACACAATTCTGCGAAACCACGAAATGTACATTGTCCCACAACATACACGTTGTGTACAACCCACCTTGCCAAACCGTTTTCAGTAATTCTCCACCTCCCCCTTCTGGAATCTTCCACTTCCGCCCAGCCCCCAGTCCCTTATTATGTCTTCTCTGTTCTCCCTTTAAAAACCTCAGCTATTTGTCTCAGTTGGAGTGCAGCTCAGTCTACACCGGTGTCTCCCTCCCCTACTGCCCTCATCTGAACATGATCTGTCTTGCCTCCTTTAACGAGTGTCCAGTGCTGGCTTTTCTTGGACACTCCATCTTCGTCAGCTGGGACTGCCATAACAAATATCACAGACTGGGGGCTTACACAGTAGACGTTTATTTCTCACAGTTCTGGAGGCTGGAAGTCCAAGGTCAAGGTGCGGGCACATTCAGCTTCTGAGGGAGACTCTTCCCGGTTTGCCACCTTCTTGCTGTATCTTCACAGGGTGGAGAGAGCGAGCTCTGGTGTCTTTCTTCCATAAGGACACTAATTCCATCATGGGGGCTCCACCCTCTTGACCTCATGGAAACCTAATACCTCCCAAAGATCTCGCCTCCAAATGCCATCACACTGGGGCTAAGGCTCCAACATATGAATTTGGAGGGGCCATAAACACTCAGTCCACAGAACACTACCAACCCCTGACCCCTCTACCTGACGTCCACCAGCCTTGCTGGCCTCTGTCCTGGACGGTTGTTTTCCGTAGCCTTTCCATCCTGGGCACAGTGCACACCAGACTATGTATCACCCTGCCAGCAAGTGGGCTTCCTACATCCTGACTCTCTCTGAGCCCCCGCCCACCAGCCTTGGCTCTCCAGGGCCCTGAGAAATTGTTTTCTGCTGCCCTGAGACTGTGGCTCAGCTCTGGCCCAGGCAACCCCATGAACTTCTCCACCAACCAGTGGCTGCAAACAGAACTTCTCTGATGAGGTCTAAACCTCAGCCTTAGGGAGCGGACCCCCTTCCAAGTCTGTCCTCTGGACACTCTCCCTCAGCCCCGGGACATGCTTTAGAGTTCTCTTTACATCCTTGTAGTTTCTTCCCCATCACAATTTAGTAATTCTTTATGTGACACTCCCTCTGTTCAAATGACTGCGTGGTCTGTCTCCAGCTTCATTTGTGGGTGTCACCAAAGACGCAGCATAGGATATAGGGGTACAGAGGATGGGCAACAGGCAGCTGAGATAGCGCATGTAGCACACTCAGTGCCTGGCCCTACCAAGTCCTTTCATTTTGGCTTTTATTGTTTTTAAGTGAATTTTTTTTAGCACATCTGCAGGAGGCTGGGCAACAGAAGTCTTTCTGGAGGAAATGATGTCTGAGGTGCTTTGAAGACAGAGAAGCGAGCTGGGCACATGGGCGGAAAGGGAGGCGCCAGGGCCAAGGCTGGAAGCTCGCCCACCTGCCAAGGACTGAAGTGAGATAGAAAGATAAATGTACTTTGTAAACATAGAGAGAGACTGTAGACAGTAATAATCCAACTATCTTTGCTTTCTGGAAGTGGACCTAACTCCAACCAATCCCCTTGTTCAAATTCCATGCTTATTATATTTTCTGGGGACTAGACATTTCCACCAGAAAGAAGTGCCTCGTGAAAATCATTAGGACCTACCATCCCAAACGAAAGAGCACCCACTGTAAACAATTTACTGACGCACTAGTGTTACATCCTTCATTCATTCGGCAAATACCTATTGTGAATTTCGTAAGCAGTGGGTCATGTCAAAATTAATAAGATGTTGTCCTTACTCTTATTCTCTTCCCTGCACCCATTCTACAGATATTGGGTTAAATCTGGTACCATCCTTCCAATGACTTTTGTGACCTTTAGATAGTTTAGCTGAAACTAAACTTAAACTAGACTACAGCATTTCTGTCCCCAACATCCCGTGTCTGCCATCTGCTTCAAATTCACTGGCCACTCTAGGAAAGGCTGAGCAAATACTCACAAATGTTTCGTCTCTGAATTCTTTCTTTCAATCTTTTTTTAAAATGTTATGATAATTATATCACACCAGACAACGATAATGCAGCTGAGCCGATTAGAATTTTATTTAGAATAGACGTGTTCCAATCACAGAGGAAGTCTCCAGTAACCTTGACTCGATTTGGTACAAATCCTGGTACCATCAGCCACAAGTCCCCAGAGGAGCCATTCCCGGAAACAGCCAACTGGATCCATTCTGCATTGATCTTAAATAATTTCCATTTCAGAGGAAGGCCTTATCTGACCTGATCCCCTAACCTTGGGGGAAACTTATAGGGACAAAGAAAGAAAAAGTGTCTGGAATGTTGGGAATCAGCTGCCTCTGTTCCTGTCTCCACCAGGGTTGGTGGAACAAGCAAATCTCTCCCCCACTCTCTGAACTGAACACACGCTGTGCCCAGGCACCCTCCCCACCAGTCCCACTACATGGGGTTTGCCAAGACAGCGGTTAATTGCTCTGCACCTGAGCATATTAGATTTAAGGGATTTTGCATAAACTATCCATATAACTTGAGATTGCTTCCCACGCGTCTTGCTTAAAATGGAGACTATGCAGATGCAGTTCCCATCCAAGAACACATCTGCCAGGCAAACTCTCAAACTAGCTCCCCAGAAGGTGGGGGAAGTTGGATCAAGCAACAGTTAGGTGACTTGGAAAAATGCCCTTGGATCTCATGTAACTGTCTGGGTGTCAATGGGAAGACAGTGGCTTTTGCTCCTTAGGAAAGACCTTTGGAGTTAGGCCTTGACCACGTGTCTAACATGACAAGCCCTCCTTGGGGTTTCCATAGCAGTTTATTGACAGAGTCAGGGCTTGGGGATTAAAGAGAACAGATTTCGTTGAATGCTTTTTGAGAGGTCAAGCAACAAGAAATCTCATAAGTGATCACTGAGCTGACATAAGAAGCATATGAAATCTATGTTTTCCCTATAAATACTAAAATCCTATAAATATGAAAATCTTGATGAAAGAAATATCTCAACTTACCACATCACATAGCTTTTCTTTTCAAATTCCACTCCAGAGCCCATTTTTTTCAGGAAGTTATTTATCCAGTGGTATCATTTAGGATACTCTTGGTTGAGGGGGACAGAAAGCCTGCCTCCAATGGACTTAAGAAAGGGAATTTATTGGCTCACAAACTAAAACAATCCAGTGGTAAATTTAAGGCTATAGGCACAGTTTGATCAGGACTTTAGTCTCTAGAATTTTCTCAGCTCCCCTCTCTGTGTTGGCCTTTGCCCTCAAATTGGCTTTTCTCATGGTGGCAACATGGTTCCAGCAATTCCAGATCTGTGTTTAACACCATCCAGAGCAAGAGAGTGTTTTCGTGTCCCAGAATTCCCCCTTAAAGTCTTCCAGGTCATTCCTATGGGGTGGGCTTACTTAGGTCATGGGTCTGTCTTGCACCCGATCAGTGAAGCTGGGAGATGGAACGCACTGATTGGAGTAACCTAGGTCTCTTATTTCAGCCCATGAGCTGGGAGTAGTTCCAGCTTCCCTAGAGCCACATGGATCCCCAAACGTAAATTAGAGGCTGTTGGGTTAAAGAAGGGGGAAATGCATACTGGGAAAGCGACCAACAGGAGAGGATCATATCTTTAAATTCACTTAAGTTCTGGCCTTTCAGTCTCATTTTAACACATTCTGCATTCTTACTCATTATGGATTACATTTTGTCTATCTTTGTGTCTTCTGTTTTGTCCTGCCCTTTAACCAACTCAAACATATGGAGAAAGCCCAGCCATAACCATATAAACAAACCAACACTTTGTTGGAGAACCCGTGAGATGATGATGTAGAAAATATGGAAACAAAGAAAAATACTTGGAAGTCTATCCCACCTTCCAAAAACAAAAGCTTGGGGCTTAAGTTTGAACTTTATGAAATCACGGGGCTGGTGTAGACCACTGTCTGCAGGCAGGGAAAAAAATATTTCACTTGTAGGGAACATCCCCAAAAGCCAAACTGGTTGAACTTCACAGAAGTTGGTATAAGATTCAATTTTTCTCTTTGCTTGCTGAAAGCCACTTGTAGAAATTCAGCTAATCCCAATTGCTCTAAGTTAATCAGTCATCTATGCCAGATCTTATTTCTTTTTTTTTAGGCAGAGACACGTATATGAGTAATAGATATTTGTAAAACATTTGAGTGAATCATACTGCGCCTAATGTAACAAACCTAAAAGTGGCTGTTCTGTCTACACGTAAAACTTGAATCTCACGGACTTGATTCAGAGCACAGGTCATCACCTGTTATGCAGATGGGTTCTCCTGTAGGACAAGGGAAGACAGCCATTGCTTACAGACCAATTGCCAGTGGACTAGTTGTTTCCTGTTCCACAGTAGCGTTACCACCGCCACCAACATCAACCATTCCAACACCACCACTGTCAACATCAACCACCACCAACCATCAACTATCACCATCACCAACCATCAACATCAACCACCATCAATCACTACCAACACCACCACCACTAGCACAACCATCCCTACCATCACCACCAACCCCAATACGCCATCAGCGTCAATCATCATCACCTCCACCACAACAAGGCTTATATTTACATATTTATTTTACTTTTCAAAATATATTCATATGCATGATCTCATTAGCTCTTATCTACTTTGTAAGATTGGCAGAACTGGCATCATTATCCTCACTTTGTCTGTATGGAAACGAAGGTCCAGAGAGGTGAAGTGGTGTGCGCAAGGACACCAAAGTGGTTGACAATCAAACACAGACTAGAGATTGGTTCTTCTGACTGCAAAATGAACCCTTTTTTTCAGTGGACCCCATCCTCCCAATGAAAATGAAGAACTTCTGACTAAATTCTGATATTAACAACTTTGGTTCTATGCTCCAGTCAGAGTCTTTGAATGAAAGGTCATTTGAGACCATATATTGCAGCCCTCATGTGTTCCAGGTGAGCCACTAGCCACTCAAAGTTCATATGACCCCCTAGAAGTTCAGTTTTCATCCAGGGCATTTGACTCCAAATTCAGCCTTCTTTCCACGACCAGAGGCCACCTTTCCATATACCCCTCAGGAGTCTCCTATGTTCCTCTGGGAACACTGAGTGCCCCATGCCCTTCCCTGGAGCACAAGATTTTCCAGTGAAGAATGAATATGACTGAAAGCTGCTGCCCCTGCTTTCTCTTCTCAAAGTGCCAGAAAGTCTGAGAAGGAAACGGGATGCTGGCTTTCAGTCACATCCCTATCAGCCAGAAGTGCCCACAGCTCAGAGATGCTCTTCCAGCCCCATTCAAGGACCTTGACTCCTCTCTCAATGTTCCCGATAAATCCAAAGCTGTTCCCCGGCAAGAAAGTTGGCCCCTGTGGAGGCCTGCCTGTCTTGACTTTCAGGGGTCCCTTGGAGTTCGGTTTGGGGCCCGCTATTTCCACGCTCTGGCCCCACGCTGCACTGGCTGGGCGGCAGGACAGCTCTGTTGCTAATGGTCAGTGTGGAGCGTTTGGCCACCTTGCTCTGGAGCCCTTTCTTTTTGAGTTCAGAGGTCAAATTTGAGTAACACACATCTTCCAAGCACTTATCATTCTTTCTGAGGATGTCGCTGGCCAACTGGAAGAGGAAAATCACTCCGTAGATGCCAATGATGGTGAGGATGTACCAGGCAGCGCTGGTCCCATCTGGAAGGTTCAGGGCCCTGGTGGAGTTGGTGCTGTTGCTCCCCTCCATGTGGGCCTTCAGCAGGTGCCCAGGACAGTGCTGGTCTGGGTCTGGATGGGGCCTCCCGGAGAGTCCACTTGATCACTGAGAAATAGAGAGGTCTGGATGAGACCCAGCATCCTGGGCTGAGGGCTGCCTGGCTCAGCCAATGCCAGCAGGGCCTCGCAGTAGCAGGAAACGTGGGACTGCTTAAAGACACTTTCTCTATTGAATTGGCAGGAACCTAATAATATATATGTTGATAAATTCTTAAAAATCAAGAGTTCAAAACACCAAGTTCTTGAACAGGACATGCAACATCATAAATATGTCAATTGTCCCTAAAATAATCTATGTAACTAACAAAATTGCAATAAAAATAGAGTTGCTTTGTGAAATAGACAAATGATGCATATTGAAAAATCAACCATCAGATTAACTATGAAAACTCTGAAAAAAATAGTGATGAATGGAAATGAGCCAAGCCAAAGATTTAAAACTAGCCAGCTAGAAAAATAATTTACAGTTGTCGGAATAAATGAATGCCTTATTTGCCCACAGCCCAGCTGTGGCTCATTGGACTTTGCAAAGGGTCTGGGGGCTCTTCAGAACCAGGTACAACTCTCCCTAAAAAGTCTCCCCATAAGACTGCAATAGCTAAAAGAGTGTGATGCTGCTGCATAGACAGGCAGACCAATGGAATAGAGGAAGACACCGTCGGAAAGCTAAGAATTGGAATTGGTGGATAAGAAAGAGGCATTTCTGCCCAGTAGGAAAAAGATGGATTATTCAATAAGTAACATTGGAGCCACATGCTGTTGGATTCACATCTCTCACTTTATGTCCCAAAACAGTCCAGATAAATCAAAGATTTTAACATAAAAAAATGAAACAATTTAAAGTACTAGAAAAAAGCATGGTAGATTTTTTTCTTTCACCACCTCGGAGTGGGACATCCCTTTCAAAGCATAAACAAAAATTGAGAGGGGGGCACAAAAAAGAAGGAAGGAAGAAAGAAAAAAAGACAGAAAATGTTAAATTCAACTACATAGACAATTTTAAGGTTATTATATACCATAAAACCAAAAGACAACAAACTGGAGAAAAATTGCAATTTTATCACTAAATTTCTTAATAGCTTTCAAGTCCAAAATCTCAGTAGAAAAGTACGCAAAGGATAATGGACAATTAGGTCAGAGGAAAAAAAGCAAACCTTGAACACAGAAAAAGCTTCTTGTATGATTCACAATAAGATAAACGAAAATTAAAATTACAAGATAAAATTTTGTTATCTGTTGGGTTTGCAAACTCATGATGCTTCAGAAAGCACTGTGTGGATGTGTCTGCAGGGCCACCAGGCCTTTGCTAAATTGCTGGCAAGAGTGAAAATTCATGCAACCAATACGGAGGGCAGGTTGACAAAATCTAGCGACATTACCAACGCACTTACCTTTGATCTAGTGATTCCACCTGTAGGAATTGATCCTAAAGATACTCTGAAACGTGTCCAAAACAATGCATGTTTAAGGTTACTCATTGCAGCATTGCTTGTGATGACTAATGCTTGAGAACAGCCTGAATAGCATCAATTGGGAGATGGTTTCAGACATTTTGGAACCTCCATGCGGTGGAATACTATGCAGCCCTAAACAGCAATAAACAGATTTTTGATACTAAATATTAACAAATGAAAAAGTAACCTAACTGTGATATAGTATGCAATCATATGCATAAATAAAGGAGGGAAGTGTTATTTGCAAAATATTTCTGGGAGAATACACAAGAAATTGGTACCTATGGTTGTTCATGGGGAAGAGAATTGGGGGAGGGAGATGTCCTTTAGTACTTTTCTTGATGCCCTTTTGTACATGTTGTCCCATGTGTATTTATTTTCAAAAAGAAGTTAATTTAAAAATGAAAGACTACAAGTGGACACTTTTCTGGTCTGCTTGGAAATGTCTCTGGGTAAAGATACTGTGTGACCTTCCAGGACCAGAAGATTAAGATCTTAACTACTGTTTAATTCAAAACTGTTTTCTCTAGTAGGGGAGCCAGTGAAAATGAAATGATAACAGCCGAAGAAGTGGTAAAACTGGGAGACATTTTTAGTTGAGCCTCCCTGGTTCAAATCTCTATTTCTTGTGCTCTGTGAGCACAGCTAGATTAAGACACATCAGGATAAATCCCATAGCTCGCTGAGTATACCAAAGGTGCTCCATAAATGCTTTCCATGGGAGATTTGTTTGCTGCTAGTTCATTTTGCTAATGCAAGATTCAGAGAGGCTGGCATTTTTTATCATAGTTAACTGTCAGGATGAGTGAATAATCTTATTACTTTTAGATGAAAAGAGAAACCACTTAAAAAAATAACTCTACAAATCACATGTGACAAAACCCCAATGAACAGATTTAATTATACAAAATTGGTCATGCGTAAGAAACAACAAAACAATCAGGAATTTTACATCACTGATGGTGCAATGGTTTGAGAACTTCACGTCAGGAAGGGGAAAAAATTCCCATAATTATTAAAAAACAAATCAGCCAACAAGAATGTCATAAACCTTAATGAAGGCAAGAGAACTTGTTTACACTTGGAACACATACCTAAACTCATACACCTTTCTGGAATTGTTATAGAAAGATGTGATATGTTCAAATACATATAAAACATACCCAACTAAGAATGATAGAACATTGAATTATTTTAAAACCAGTTTATTTTCCACATGAAAAAACTCACTATATTAATTATTGCAGTAAATTGTTCTTTACCTTTTTTAAGAAAAATAAGAGTAAATTAGATTATATCTTACTGGATAAACACATCCTGTAGAAGAGACAACCCTTTGTGCCATTTTGCATTTGCCATTTAACAATGTGAAATATACAGGTAATTCCACAACTGCCCGTCCTTGCATCATAGCAGAATATACTCACATTCCACGAGTTGGTCTTTTCCTCAACTCTTGGGGAGGCAAGTTTAAGCGGCTGCCATGGAAAGAGAAAAGGATAAAAGGAGAACTCCTTCTTGCAAATGATCACAGTCCTATTGCGTTTGGTCTGCACTGAGGGTCCTGAGCAGGGAGTAACATGATACCCTGAGAATTTTACAGCAGTATCAAATAGACACTTAGCACAGAGGAATTGGACTAATTCTCTCTCATTCAATCAATCAGAGGATCGATGTCAATCTGTCTTGTTGAGAAGTCTGGCTTGTTGAGAAGGTCTGAAGCAAAGGAATTGTTTCAAAAACGCTGTCACCAAAGAGACTCCAGCCCTCCCAGGTCCCATCCAGGCCTGTGGTGGTGGAAGCTCTCCCTGAGGCTGGCTCACCAGCTTATAGCCTGGATGGCTCCTGAATTCCCCTGCTCTGCACCTGTTGCAGGTGTGGCAGAGGCCCATTGCCACAGGGCCAGGAAACTCCACCAGTTTCCTCTTGGAATGTCTCCCAGATGAGGAAACCCAGACAGGAAGGAGCAGGCACATGAGGATGCAGCTGAGGGGCTGGAGTTTGCCCTCAGGGATCAGTGGGCAATGGGCTCACAGGCCAGGCTGTGGGGAAAGGTGCTTCTCTTCCCCACAACCCTGAGTCACAGACCTCATTAGAATAAAAGCAGGTTTAACTGGAAATTGCCAGAATAAGAGTCTGGAAGAAAAGAGAACACGGAGAGGAAAGGTTGGAAGACTCTGGCAGGTTCTGTAAGGCAGCCATCCTCTCCAGCCCCACATCTCCTGACTCCTCACTAATATGATCATGACCTGCTAAACTTGTGAGGGCTGTTGGCTTTTAAGATGTAACTTGATCAAATTTCCATCAATGGGGGACTAGATAAGTAATTTATAAAACAAGCTATGTGATGCAGCAATTCCACTCTGAGGCATATACCCAGGAGAAATGGAAACATACATCCAGACAAAAACAAGTATATGAATGTTCACAGCAGCATTATTCATAACAGCCGAAGAGTGGAAATAGTCGGAACGTCCATCAATAGATGAAAGGATAAATAAAATGTGGTAGCTCTATGCAATGGAATACTATTTGGCAATAAAAAGGAATAAAGTGTTGACACATGATCCAGCATAGATGAACCTTGAAAACATTATGTTAAGTGAAAGAAGCCACTTACAAGGGACAACATATTGTATGATTCCATTTATATGAAATGTCAGGAAGAGACAAATCTATAAAGACAAAAAGTAAATTAGTGGTTGCCTAGGGAGCAACCCTAGGCAGGGAGTTGGAGGGGTCATTACTAAGGGGTACAGGGGGTGGTAAAAGTCTTCTACAATTAATTGTGGTGCTGGTTGCATAACTCTGTGAATACATAAAGGTCTTGAATTATAAACTTTAACGCAGTGAATTTTATGGTATGTGAATTATATCTCAATAATATAATACAGGTATGCAATGGAATACTATGCAGCTGTGAAAAAGAATGAGGATGCTATTTGTGCACTGATGTGTAAAGATCTCCAAGACGTACTGTTGAACGAAAACAGCAGAGATTATTTTACCATCTATGTAAAAAAGTAGGGAGAGAATCAAATGGATCTGGTTTTGCTTGCGTAGGCATTGAAAAGCTGCTTTAAGGACAACAGAGAAGGTAAGAACAGGAGTTCCTTGAAGGAGGAGAGACCTGGGTAGATGGAGAGCTAGAGTGGGAGGGAGAATTCTCACTGTCTATTCTTTATGAATATAAAGAATTTTAACCATGTGTGTGTTGTCTATTCAATGATAAATACATCCATCAATTAAATGTAAGTCTTTGTCCAAATTCTATTTAGGCTCTTGTTGTCTCTTGCTACGGAATGGCTGAACTGTGGCTCTTCCGGCTCTGCCACACAGATGGGGATTTCCAGCAATGACCAGGTGATGTGAGAAGGGGCAGAAGGGAGGCCCTGGGTGATAAAGGGCCAGTGGCAGTGACAGGGCTGGGTAGGAGTCAGGGCTCCGGTCCCAGCTGGGTCCTTGCTGTGTGACCCCAGGCAAGTCCTGTCCCCTCCATGAACCGCAGTTTCCTCACCTGTAAGGTGGAGGAGTGGCAGGATCAGATACCCTCTGGTTCCAGGAAGGCAGGTGGGAAGGCTGGGTGTGGAGGTGGCTTCACGGGAGCGCTGCCAATGCGGCCGCCTCGGCAGAGGGAAGACACGCCCTGGCGGCTCTCGGCCAAGAGGTGGAGGCCTCGGAGAGTGTGTCATCTGTGAAGTCAGCTGTCATCCCTGAAGGTTTCTGCATTCAGCTCAGCAGGATGCTGGTGTGGTATGTGGGGAGTGATAAGCTCCCGAAAAATGGGGGGCTGTTCCCCCTTAAAGATCGGGGGCATCTTCAGGCTCAGAGAATTGACTTGCCCAATGTCACACAGCTCGTAGGTGTCAGAGGTGGGATGTCTGACACCAAAGGCATTCTCCTTCCACATCCTGAATGTCACCTTCAAGCTGCACCCAGGGTCCCATGAATTCTCCCGATTGCTTGTCCTACAGGTGGAACTGTGTACTGTCACTGCTAGGGCATATGCATGACCTTGAAACCCTCTCTGTGGCCAAAATCAAACTATGACATTAAAAGTCAGCATAATGGATGTCCTTCAGCTAAGGGCAAGTGACTAGAGGGGGCAGGAGGGGATCCTCAGGTGCTGGTTGTGTTCCATTTCATGGTTTGCTCACTTTGGGGCACTTCATAGAGCTGCACACTTAGGCTGTGTTCACTTTTCTGCGTGCATGTTACACTTCAGTGAAAACCTTCTCCTGTTGTTTCCTTAACATGGAGAGCCCTAATAGGCAACGGGAAAAAAAAATTAAGGTTTATATAGAAAAATACAAATGCTATTTTTATAGGATTCTGTATTCTGTCGTGGCTGTGGCCACATGGTACCTTCTAATGAAGAGTGTTCTGTCCCTGGGGGTGGGGGACGGTCAAGCTCATGGTCACAGGGGGTGGGCAGCTGCCTGCCTTTTTATGCAGTGTGGCTGACGCTCACTGTTTGTCATTCCGGAAAGCTTATACAACAGTGAAATGGAACAGCTTGTACCACCACGAAGGCAGATATTTTCTTCCTATGTGTGTATGTCTCCTTAGGCCTTCTGGTTCAGTCCAGACCAATGTTGACCTAAACGCAATCAAGCAAAACCGCTCGCCCAGTAAATATTTGTCTGAGCTACAGCCCTGGGAGAAAGGACTCCGATACCCTCTGGCTCCTCTCACATCAGAGACTAAACTCTCCTGGAGGGCCGTGGACATTTTTCTGTTTTGGGTTCACTGAAGAGCCAGTGGGCTTAGAAGACGTCTAAATTGGGAGCAAAGGTGGCCATGATGTGGACTTGACTCTCCAAAAAGACAAAAAAGGAAAAGAAACAAGGCTTTTGCATTTGAGGGTGCCAGAACTGATATTAAAAAAACTGTCAATATAAATGCTCATATCCACAGCTGGCATTCTTTCTAAGGAGTATTTTCTAGAGAGGGCACACCTCACCAGCCAATTCGGACATCCCACCATGCAAAGGAATATGAAAAATGACGGTTCAGGAGCCCTGTGGAGGGCCTGCCCTGCTCCAGCAAAGGGCTCTCAGAGCTCCTCCTGGCCAAGAACACAGATTCTGGATGTTTCTGCCTTTGCAGGGGGTACAACCTTCCAGAGGACATTTCGAAGACGTTTTACATATTTTAAAAATCTTTCACTTATGCGTCATTCTTTCTTTTCCTTTTAACTTCATTGTTGTCGTCTCCAGCATTCAAGGACGTTAACTGTCACTGCTTGTCTCCAGGGAGGGGCAGAGGAAAGCTCACAGCCTTGGGAATGGGAGGACCCAGCTTCCAGTAGGGTTTTATGGCTTGCTAACTGAGGGACTGTGGGCAAGTCCCTCCACTGCTCTGAACCTCAGCTGTAAAAAAAAAAAAAAAAAGAGAGAGAGAGAAATTGTGACGACATAAGTGACTCCACAAACCCAAGGGGCAAATACAGTCACATCTCATTTCTTCTCCCAACCGATGGCTTGAGCCCCTGGTTGCCTGGTTAACAGGACATCTTATACTTATCTCCCTCTTAAGACCTCCTGCGTTGACCAGGACTCCCAGGTACTTTGTCCAGAGCCGGCAGGCTGGGTAGTCTGGCTTCCTCCGCGAGGCCCACAGGACCAGACGTATCTGAATAATCCTCTGCTGCTGTTGCCTCCAGCCGCCACATGGGGCCGCTGTTGAACACCGCCCTTGCCCGCTCTGACGGATGATGCTGAGGAAATCTACAATGACCTCAAGACAGTGCCCCCAGGAGAAGGCATTAGCTCTAAACGCCTGCCTGTTGCTGGTTTACACTGCAGAAGCGACAAATAAGACTGTTCCGCTCCATTAGCTCTCTCTCACTCCCCTGCTTCAGCCCTGGGGAGGTCAGACACCACGGTTAATCAGTCGAGGGAGTCAAAGCAGAAGAGCAGGGGTGGAAGGCAGAAGCACGTGCAGCCGCCACTTTCCCGCTGCAGCTCTCTTGCTCCTGCAGCCTGAGCTGGGAGAAGTGAGGGGTCTCCATCTTAAATCTAGTTCAGAATTTTGATTTTGATCTGGGACTGCATAGTTTAATTACTGAATTAGGACCATTTTCCCCAACCTAACATGACCATAGGGGCAGGGAAAGATCAAACCTTACATGGGTAGAGTCCACAGAGCAGAATGAAAGAATTAAACAAACGGCAGGAGCACAAATAAGGCTGAGTTATTACGACATCCCGTGAGTCTTGTCTGTCACGGTGATGGCTACCATCAGCATGCTCTGGGACGCACATTCAAAATTACACAACAGTTAGCAGAAAGGGAGATTTTATGGGCTCAAGTAAGCAAGAGAGAGGCAGGGTAGAGGTGGCCTAAGGGGCCCAGGGACGAGGACCCATGTCTGTCTTCCATCTTTGCCTCTCTTTGCACCCTGTCCTATGGTAGAAGGATTTTCTCCACATAGTGTAGCATGTGACACTCAGACCCACATCCCAACAGTCTACTACCGAAGGGGGAAGAGGCTGCTTTTCTGCCTGTTTAGCCAGGAGAATCCCAGGGAATGGCTCTGATTGGCTGGAGTCAGATATGTGCTTCAGGAAATCACTGTAGAACTGGGGTTGGGTCCCATGATGGAACCAGTTGGTAGCACATCCTCCAAAAAAGAGAAAAGCTACCTGTCCTACATGGCTTGGGCTGCAGAATAGAGCGTGGATCGAAGAGGGACAGGCGCAGAGGCAGAGAAATCAGTCAGGCGGCTGTGGGCATAATCCAGGCAAGAGGGTAGTGAGAGCAAGACTGGAGGGAACTCAATGGGTTCGAGAGATATTTGGGAAGTAGAACGTACAGAACTTGATTAGTTTGTGTAGTGAGTTGAATGATGTTGGCTATGAACTGAACTGTGTCCCTCCAAAATTTGCATGTTGAAGTC